AGCTAGAGCTCTTTGACTAAGTACAAGGTGCTACCCAAATATTCATTGGTTCTTGTATGATCACTGAAGTTAAGCAACATCAAACTTGGTCAGTACCTTGATGACTGATTGATTGAGAATATGAAGTGCTGTAAGCTTGGATGTGTGGATGGTGTAGTGGATAATGGCACGGAATTGTTAATCGGAGAGCCAAGTTCCAATTCCACTTGGGTTCATTATATTCTCTTACACACAAATACCCTTGGGGAAATGTATGAATCCACACCTTAATTAGTAAGACTTATATTACTAAAACCATTATCTCAAAAAAAAAAAAAATGTAAATTAATAAAATTGCTTATAAAATGTTTAGATTTCTGCATTAAATGACCCATAGAGGTATTGATATGCCACTAAACAAAAGCAATTAACCAAATGTTTATGGCATTTGAACAGTATGTATAAAGTAAGTGTAGAACAAACATTTAGCACTTTATAAAGTCTTTGCTTGCATACCCGGCATAACTATATTGAAGAAAATAGTGGAAACTAGCTATTAATACTTTTCATGGTCAGATTTCCCAAACTTTGATATCAATTGTATATGATACTAGCAGTAGAGCCCGGCGTTGCCCGGGGATGTAACAGTAAGAGATAGATCAAGTATCCACCATCATAAAGACTGAAAAATAAAATTGACAAAGATTATTGTTTAAGGTTGACAAACACACATGTCTTAATTTGTTTTTTGTTTTTTTTGTTTATTTTTTTTTTTTTTTTTTTTTAATTGGTCAAACTCAAACAAAAACATTGTTTTCAATCGTTATTAGTCTACCGATTGAATAGAATTTTATTATAAACAATTGCCTTGTAAATGGAATTTTTAAAGCATTCTGAATGTAAAAATAAAGAAAAAAATGTGCAAGACAATAAGAAACACTACCTGCCAAAAAAAAAAGTGAAGTTTTGAAATTGGTTGAAAAATGTAGGAAATCCGATCCCATATATAAACGAACACACACACACACAAACAACCTTGGTTTTATAATAAATATAACTCGATATGAGTTGTCCCCCTTTCATTCTCGCAACAGCAATGCCTCTTAATCGTGTTTTCAAATTGATTTCGTGCAAAAACAATTGTTTTTCCAATTTTTGGCGCTGTCAGAACCACCGCAAGGTAATTTTACATAGTCCTGTGAAGTTTTGTTGAAAAATGTAGGAAATCCGATCCAATATATAAACGAACACACACACACACACACACACACATAGGGTTTTATAATAAGTATGATGATTATATTAAATGCTTGAAATGTAACAAAACTTTTGCATTTAATGTTGCTGCCATATTTGGTCTAGTGCTTCTATTTTGTATCTAGAGATTCTTGACAAGATCCAAGGAGGAATCTGCAAGGTTATTAGTCTTGTCCTGTCCTGGTATCTTGGTTTCAGTCACTTTCCCATCAACATAATATAACTTACCTGTATCTTTTCTGTAAATATTTTCATGGTACTTATTCTGATGAGCTTTCCTCTTTGGTACCTTCACAAATTTAAGCGCTGTACTATATTGTCAGCTGGATCTCATCTTACAGTTGAAATTGCTAGATTTAACCATAAGTTCTATACTAATAATTTCTTCTCTCACATTCTTGCAGGGTGATATCACCTGTTAGCACCCCAGCTATGGGCAAATAGTTAATCTCCAAACTGGGGTCAAAATATGAAAATTATAAAAAGAAAGAAATGAAAAAAATTACCAGCAATACATTTTTGGAAAACAAAAAAATTAACCAAAGCTCACAAGAGAATAAGATTTCAGCATTAAATAACCCATATATGCTGTTAAACAAACAAACTAAACCAAACCACATTTCTTGCTTGTAGAACTATCTTCCAGCTTTTTATGAAGTAAAATAGGGTGAAGGCCATACATTATCTAATGGCTAATAAAAAGAAATCCTGCTTCTGTAACTCTTTCAACCTGGCTACTGATCTTCAAAAATTTAAATGCAACATCATTCATCTTCTGTCTCTTTGAATTCTGTTCTCTTTATTATTCACTTTCCTCAATAACATGTTCTCACTTTCTTTCATTTGCAGTAACAGCTTGTGTATTAGTAGCTTTTTAACATGGAGCTGGGGGTTCTTACATGCTGAATATTTGATTGACAGGCTAGATGTTTCTGTAATTTAAGTATGGGGGCCCAGAACTGAAAGAAATTATATAATGAAATTTTTTTTTTTAAATAAAATATTTTAAGCAATCTAATATTTTGTTGAATTTTAGGTATTTTGGAGAAGACACTTGTTGAGAAAATGTTACAAAATTACCAATAAATTTTAAATTTATTTTAGGTACCAGTCTTATTTTCTGCTAATGTCATGTGTGGACATTGATATTTACAAAAATGGACGTACACAGACATTCACAATTTTTTTTTTTTGTTTGAAATACTAGTGAAGATTGAATTTTAGTGAATGGAAAACATTTATGATTAGTAAATACAATTTTAATTTAATAATATCATACTGTGAACATTTTATAGCTCTTATGAGAAAACAGCAAAGTATATATATATATATAAAGTTGGTTACTCATTTTGAAGGATACCTGTCTACTATGGCAGCTAGCCAATCCCTATTGCAGACACCCACTCAGGTGCATTTGTGTTCAACACCCACAGAACCCACCTGTGGTTTATACTGCAACTATACTGAGCAGACCTTAGTTACAGTTTCTTGGAGAGACCATGTTATCGAGTGTGATCAACAATCTGAACAAGGCCAGCATACTCAAACCCTCAGTCACAATGACTTTTGTGACTTTGTGCTAGCACAGCCATATATATATATATATATATATATATATATATATATATATGTCTTATAAGGTAAAAGATTACATAACACATGATAAATGACATCATTCAATATATTTATAATTAAGGTGAGTTACTAATATCATGAATTAGCAAATTATTCATATGTTAACACATTTCAATAGGTTTATTTTCCATTTTTCATATTGTAATTTGTCTTGCCTACTCTTGCATAGGATGTGCATATAGCATAGCAGTTATGTCTGAGTTTGCTTTTACACAAATAACCTTACAAAGGTATGACTATATATCAAGAACAATTTTAGGGAAAAAAAACTGACCAGTGGAAAAAGGTTTTTGTTGTGCATTGTTTCATCGTTTAGGACTTCATCAGACTAAAGTGATGTTTACATTGATGTAAGTACATGTGTGTATAAAGGAAAGGGGGCACTGAGAATTTTTTTTTTTTTTGGTAAATATGTGTTTGGATATATAGTCTTGTCAATTTCATTTAGTTTATTTTGTTTTTAACACTTTATGTTATTAAATATCCTACATTGTGATTAATAGATTTGCCGAAAAGGTGAAATGTAAGAACCTGGATGTAAATTTTATGTGGATAATATAGTGATTAAGGCACTTTCTATACATTTTCATCTTAGTAAATTTCTTTCTTTTAATTCTGGTAGCATTTTTCAATTAAAAATTATAGTCAATCATTATGATGAGCAACTAATGTATTTAGTGCATTGTTTTGTAAAAGATCCCTTTTGTGTTCATATAATTTTGTATTTAAATTCCTTGAGGTTTATCCTATGTGGCAATTATTACAGGTGGTAGAGTAAATTTCTCAAAGTTTTAGCTGATTTTGTTTTGTATTAAGCCTTTTATTGTTTTCACAATAGTTGTAATAAATCTTATATTGAGCTTATTGTGGAGTTGGTGGGTAAAAAATATATTTTGATTTGTTGTGTTTGTCAGGAAGGTCTGCTTTTCTATTCTGAAATATTTTATGAGCCTTTTGTTTCACATTGAATATGAAATAATTAGGATATTGTAGGAGCTTAAAAGTATTTTCAATGTATTTCTCCTTTTCATGTGAATATTGAGAACTACAAATTGTGAGTGTTCTTAAATAGAATTCCAGATTTTTATTCTGTTGTTATAGTGAGAATAGAAATTTATGAGATCATTTTTATTTGTTTATTTGTGTTGGACACATTTTTATTAGTTTATTTGTGCTGGACACTTAGTTTTAGGCTTTTTCCTATTTGTCATAGTTTTTGTTTTTCCCAGACAGGGTATGAAACCATCTTTCTTTCCCCAAGCTTCAGGTTAATAAAAGGGTAGAGTAAGTTCTGTAACCTTTATTGGCAAGCAGTCTAGAAAGTTTACTCTGGAAAGCCAGTCTACTAATTTTTTTTTTCAAAACAATTGTGGCAATTCACATATAATAGAGAAAAAGGAGTTTGTGGAGAGCCACGATCACCTATGTCCTGAAGAGACAGGGTATTTAGAAATAGAAGAAAAACATCTTCTATAAAATGTATAAGTATTATAGAATAATACCCCCTTTTTGATTTACATTAAGTGCACTTAAAGGTTTCCAGTGCATCTTTTTTTAAAACCAGAGACTATATAGCTTTTAGACACTTCCTAATGGTGCCTGAAAGCCATGCCAGAGGTCGATCAAAGATTCTGGGTGAAATTGGGTACACAAAACCGTTTGGAAGCTATTGATGGTTGTGCTAGCATAAAGTTAAAAGTCAGTGTGACTGAGAGTTCAAGTGTACTGCCCTTGTTCAATTATTCATCACTCAAGATTATGCACTTTCTCCCAGAAACTGTAAAGTCCAATAAGTGGAGCTGCAGTATAAACTACAGGTTGTTTCTTCTAAGTGCTGAAGAAACATAAATGTGCTTGATCTGGCATCTGCAACAGGGATTATCTTGCAACCTTATAGCTAATACTCGCAAATGAGTAATTAGTTGATTGATTGTTTAGTGGCATATCAACCTGTATGGGTTATTCTCTCCAGGCTGATATCAAGAAGTTTGATAAATTAACCATGGTGAGATTTGAAACTCGCTTTCATGGTTGGGACACTAACATGCTAACCACCCGGCCTTGTATCTTCATTATAGTATAGATCATTATTAAATAGCTTTATGTAAATATATATTATTTTGTTGGGCTTACGGCCATATCATGTTAAAACACCAGTTCTCATTCAATCACCAAAGTTAAGCAATGCCGATCCTGGTCAGTAACTAGATGAGTGACCACTTGGGAATATCAGGGGCTATAAGCTTGGATGTGCAGGTTGTATAATGGATAATGGCCCAGAATTGAAAATTGTTGAGCTGAATTCAAATTCCAGTCAAGTTCATTATATTCACTTACATGCAGACATCATTGGGAAAGATAAGGTATAAATTGACCTCTTCTCCCTCCATGGGTTAAATAGTAAGATTTGTATCAGAAAATCGTTTTTTCCAAAAAATTGTTTTTTTTTTTCCAAGCTTTGGATTAATGGACATAAAAAGAATCACCAAACTTTTTCTTTCCAAGACTTCGTAACTTGCTAGTGTTTTAAAGTGCTTTGTTCTCAAAATACCCAAACATTGCCATAGTATACATAATAGTAGTATTATGAAATGCCCTATATTTTTGTCTTTAATCTTTATAACTTTAAAATTTGGGTTAGGTATCTTGGTATAATTGATAATCTATGGACTCACATTAATTTTGGCATTCTTTAATATTCAAAAGGTAGTTGCTGCTTACACATTTTTTGTTCAGTACACCTTGTCATAGACTATTAGTAATTTTAACTCATTAATGCCGATAATAAAATCTGATATCAATTATAGGATTATAAAAAAGAAAAAAATCCAGTATTATAAATTATAATCCATTAATGTCCATCATCCCCAAAATGGTATGATGTGCATTAATGGATTAATTTTGTTGGGTGCAGAGCCACATGGAATTAGGAAAATTGTGTTTTGATAATCTTCCAAGTAAGGAAGCTGTCTACTTGTCTTTAAAATCACCATTAAAAATCCTAACTTGGGTTCAGATGCAAAAGTACACAATTATATTAACTACTAAGCAGACCTGTAAGTGTACCAGTTCAAAATATTTCTTAAAATAAAAAAATAAAAATAAATAACATTTTGGTCTTTTTTTTCTTCTTTTTTCCATTCTCTCTAGTTATTCTATTATTTAATGCAATGATTTTTCTTCCCTTCTTTAATATGTAAATTGTAAATAAAAAAAAATTAAATGAAAACATTTGTATGTTTATATAATCAAGTATACACATTCAACAGGAGTTTGTTGCTTCAAAATTTATACAAGGTTCTAAGAGTTGGTGAGGAGAAAAAGAATATTCCTCTCAGCTGACATTAGTAGAGCTAGTTGACTGAACTAACACTGGAATAGAATTGTTTAGAGAAACAAGACTGTATTGTGCATGCAATATGCATGATTAGACAAATAAGACTGTCTTAGTAGATATTAAAAACTAAGGTGCTCATGCTGCCAAGTTATTATGGTGATGGTGGGATTAGGTGTTTCCTTATAAGGAAATATTTGGCATTCATTGACCAAAGAGCATTACTGCTGGTTGACATGTTTAAAATATTTCTCTCAAAACCGTTTTTCAGGAAAAATAAGTTTAAGTCCAATAAATGTTCTTGCTTTCTCTAGTACTGATGGGAGTTTGATTATTCCATTATTTTCTCTTCATGTTACATGTGCTAACCATTTTAGTTGTTTATACTGTTGGAAGTGTAGTTGAACTTACGATAAATTGATGTCAGTCAAAATATTTTAAAATTCTAATCTGCTCTTCAATTTGTCACTTACTTGTGCTCTGTGTCCCGAAACAAAGGAAGTCTCATATCCTTGTTATATTCAAGTCATGATCCACTTATGCAAATGAACCAACAATATAATAACATTCAAATGCAGCTGACTGCTCCATTTTTCAATAACAATTTTAATTGTTTTTACTGTGAAAAAGTTTTAAAGTGATGTGGATACTGGTATTGATTAAAGTTCTTTGTGATTCTGTAGCAGCAATTAGCAAGATCTGACATAAGATGATCTTCTTCAAGACCTACAGGATACATTTGCATGAATTTATATTTAATCACTGATCTGAGAAAATGATCATATATCTCAGTTTAGACATAAAAATGCTGACATAGGAAATAAAAGCCTCTGTTTCCCCAGAGATAGCCATATGGAACTGGTATTTATCAGTGTAGGCACTGATGTCATTACTGAATAACAAGTCTGTTTTGTGCTTGAAATCAATCTTCAGGCCTGGAGATTGTGTTCAAGCGTGGAACAGATTGTCACCACTTGGTGTTGATATCAGTGTCCACATTTATATTTGCACAATCTATCTTGGACAATGACCACTTTTACCCTATAAATATCCATCATCTAAGTGCCATATGTGATGCTTGCTTGGGTGACCATATGTCTTTTGATACATGACTGACTAGACAGAAGATTTTTCTTGCAGGAGGTTGCCATTTTTTTCTGAGGTAAGCTGCCAACCAAGCCTAAAGAACCCAATCTGTCCTGCTATTCAACCCATAACTGGTGGGGGAGAAGAGACGGATCCATACCTTTCCCAAGGGTATTTGCATATAAGTGAATGTGAATGGAATTTGAACTCTGCTCTCTGATTTCTCATTCTAAGCCAGTATCCATTACACCACCGTGTGAATCCTCAAATATCCATATAACTATAATATATCTTAATACTATTTTATCTTGTATGATATTCTGTGTTTGTGAGTTTTGTGATGTCTCTTTGCCACTTCTATAATGTCAACAAATAATTGTTGTTACTTTTGTAATGCTCATTGTAGTAGAGACTTTGTAATTACAGATACAACTATAGTAACGCCGTTGAAAAATACTGGTGTATTGTTCAATGGCATCAAAAAACACTTGCACTAATAGTACTTGCTCAATGATACTCGCTTGAAAAGTAACCTATACTATTTCTTTATAATGATCACTATACAGTGATCATTATAAAGAAATAGTATAGTGAATAGTATAGAGAATAGTAATAGAAGATAGTGTAGAAATAGTGATCCGTATAGTAATAGAGGATATAATAGAAATGGTGATCAGTTAGACGTCATGCTAATTCTCATATAACATTTTCTTTGTGATCATATGGTCTACATATTAGAAATGGGATCACCTGTGATTGCTCACTGATGATCTGTGTTCAAACTCCAGTGTCGACAGAAAAATTTATTCCTATAACAGTGATATACTTTGTTGTGTGACGGATCCCAACTTTTAAAGCAAAGGTTTATATGCTATGGCCTACCAGAGTGGGATGGTGAGAATATAGTCTCAAGGTCGTAATGTATATAATTTCCTGGTATAGCCAAATTTAGATTTTGGGGGTTGAGCATTTCAAATAAAGATGCTTTATCCGATATTATTCTATAATTGGTTATCGATCATCTTACCTTTCTCTCTTGTATCTGATCTATATTTCTATTTTGTTCATACTTCCTCTTGGAACAATTTCAAACAGCCATTAAGTAGAGGTAGGGTTAGTTGAAGGAAACCAGTTTCCATAATGACTTTTCTCTGAACCAATATAAATTACTAATGAAAGGATTTTATTGAAAGCAAATACTTGTTGATAGTCCATCCACCTGGTACAGTAATTACAATTATTATAAATGACTGATGTTTTGTATATGCAGTATGTGTGGCCAAATTGATAGAAAAATGTTTGAGCTGCAAACTTTATGAAATATTTGTTATGCTTAGAAAAATCCTTAATACTTGTATAATGAAAATATCAACTCAAGCAAGAAGATTACTGAAGCAAAATGCTATTATATTAAACTGTGCTCTTGTTAAAACAAACATGAGATTGACGATAAGAAAAATTCCTTAGCCGTTGGGTGGAACTCATTAGTAACACTTATTCTCACCTGACTGCCAGTGTCTGTAGTTGTCAAAACTTGCTGGTATCATATTTTACCTGTCAAAATATTAAAATAGTCAAAAATTTACATTTGGAACAAACCACTTGCATATAGATAGAAAATGAATTAAATACAGAAAATTATGCGTGTAAAATAAAGAAAATTAATTTAAGGTTAAAGATTAAGAAAAAAAAAGATCCAATAAACAGGTTGTCGGAAAAGTATTCATATTTCTGAAATATGATATATTTGACACGGTCAGTTGGTGGTTACAAGTCCTGCAAGGAAAAAACACTGGACAGCTGTTTTGTCCTTTCTGGGACTCTTCAGCAGTGCGCATCCACTTCCAAGAATCAAGCCCAGATCATTACGATACAATGCAAGCATCATACCACTGTGCCAGCGGGCCTCAGTGACAAAGAGGAAACTAACTAGAATCACCAAAGTGCTTTCTGCATTCTGTTAAGGATTCTTCTTTTAGACTATTATTTAAATCTCTAAAATTTCTATTACTTATAAGCCTATACTTGATCCAGGTTTAATACTTTGGAGGGAGCAGCTTGGTGAAGGAAGATGTTGCTCTTGGTGCTGGTTCCAGTGGTTTATGAATGCTTGGATGAGTATCACCATCAGAATTAGGAGTAGCTGTGCTATATTGAGTTTAGTTAGTTTCCTCTTTGTCACCCAGGCTCACTGGTACAGTGGTATTACTCTTGCGTTGTATCATAACAGTCCCAGTTCAATTCTCAGTAGTAGATGTGTACTGCTGATGTTCCCAAAAGGGATAAAACAGCCATTCAGTGCTTTCTACATTCTTCTAGACTTGATAAATTATTATGTAATATATAAAATGTAGTGTTAGTCCTAATCTAGTTGAATATATGTGTTGTGTTAGATAAAATATTTACTGTTAGTCTAAATCTAGTCAAATTTATACCATATTTATCTAAATCTAGTCAAATTTATACCATATTTATTTAAATCTGGTCAAATTTATACCATATTTATCAAAATCTAGTCAAATTTATATGTATTAGGTTGTCACACATGAAATGATACACTTTATTGGAAATGAATAAAATGCTTCTGAAATGTTAAATAACTAATTTATTTAGTTGAAATAGGCACCATGTTGATGAATAACTATTCCCCAACATCCCTCTAAGTTCTTGCTCCCATCTTTAAAAAAAAAATATTCTCATCTTTTGATATAATAAATAGTTTAAATGCTTCAATGACCACTTCCTTATTGGAGAATATTTTATTGTGTATGGAAAGCTCTAAATGCTTAAATAAGTGATAATCAGTAGGAGAGATATCAG